AACCTTTTCATTCTTCTCCTCCACTCTGTTCAAAAGGTGCCAGAGGTTTCCTTGTTCTCATACCGAGAGCTCGTTCAGGCTTTTCAGGGAGATCGTGGTCACGGTTTTGGCTTCAAGCACTCTGCACTTGTGTCCAGAAAAAAATATTAATCCCTTTCCAGTGGTGTGTAATAACCTTGACAATATCATAAATGCCGGATGTTCTGTTCGAAATCAGCTAGCATAGGAAGTCTGAGACAAGTTTTCCCATTTTTAAACTTCCCAGACTGTAATTTGTACTTGGTTTTTATGGTAGATGGAAGATTTCCCAGTAGAGGTACAATGAGACGGACAGGTGGTCAGTCCATCTCAGTGCCAGCAGACACACACGACAAACAACCGTGCACAATAGTTTCAACAAGGAGTTTAGTTTCACCAGTAGAGCAAACATGAATGTTTATGGACTCCCTGCTAAGAAACTTGGGGTATTTGTGCTGTGAGACAACAACCCAGAAACAACGTTACTGTTTTTTTTAAGTATATGGAAGTATACCAATACAGGTTAGCACAATTTTTTAAAATGAAGCAGTTGATGAACAATTTATGAATAAATATTGTAAAAGAATGGAGTTGGTTGGTTGATTTTATTTGTTTTGCCATCAAAATATAATAATTAACATTCATGTGCATGCATTTCGAGACTGTAACAATAAGGCAAAACCATTTTCCCTACAAAACTATTCATGTAAACATTAATGTAAACATTAGCATAATACTCTAACATTCTTTAGAGTTTTCTGGTGTTGTACTGAAAAGCAACGTTATGAAGGACCCGCTAATGACGAGAAAAAGGCCTTTTGTTAACTGTCATTGTTGTCAGTTCTAATATAAATAACTCCACGCCACAATGTTGTGAAATCCCAAGATTTTGCAGAATGTGTTGCGAAAGTCTGTCACCTGCCACCATACCAAATGTTAGCCCAGTGTCTAGAAAATGTACTGACTTGGCATTTTTGTACTGTAGTGGCTAATGTCAGTGAGGTTTGGCGGCCATGTTGAATTTGGTTGGATCCAGACGCTAATCAGTTGTAAACGAACAAGCAATAAATATCTGTCTGAGAGTTGCATTGAAATTTGTCCAGTGGTTCCTGGAATACTTTTCAGACAAAAATAAAACCACACGGGAAAATAAATAACTTTTGTTTTCCAGTGTGTGTGTGTGTGTGTGGGGGGGGGGCAGCAAAAAGTGTTTTTTTTTTCACCATTTCTTTAACGTCAGTAAACATTTAGTTTCCTCCTGACTAACTCAAGAAATTAAGCTTCTTGATGCTTTATCCAACACACCCATATGTTTTTCTGTACAAACACTGACTGACCCTGTGACACACTCCTGAATTATAAAGTTTATTGGGAAAGAAAACAGGTGACGACTAACTCATAGTGTTTTACAGGAGGATAGCTCTGGTCAAGAGGAGTAAGGTCTCTTTTTTAGAGTCTGAACAGAGAAACAGTCATTTGACACAGTCTTGATGGGAGCTTTTGTAGTGCAGTGCACATGAGACCAGGAGACAACCAGGTGTGGCTCAGGTGGGTGGCTAACTCAGCAGAAAGTACCGCGTAAGAGTCTGCTGAAAACCATGACACAAACAAAAGAAAAGCAAACTATGACATCTCCATTGTCACCAAAAACAGAAATGTTATAATTTAAGCATCTTATTAGCCTATAATCTCTGGGCTGAATGCATTATATCATGTTACCATGCACGTTAAAGCGGCTGTACAGAGGATAAACAGTGTGAGGAGGTAATACACGGTGATTAAACAGAAGCAGCTCTCTGTGCTGTGGAGCATCTGCTGGAGGCCTGCTCACGACAACAAGTCAACACTCAAATGATAAAAAGATGTGAAAGTATACACAGGTGCTGATAAGACAGCCTTCCGAGGGAAAATGGAAACCACAAAGCAAAAGCAAAGACAAGAAGACTCCCAATGAATTTTAACTTTAGTACTGTTGGATCCTTTGAAATCGTCTTTCCATGAGAGCTGTTTAATAGACTCTATTAAAGACTTTCTGTGTACCCACAGGCGAAGCTCCAGTAGACGTCATCCCATCAAGTCATGTACGAATGATGACGCGTATAAGGAGCAGGTTCTCAAAAAAAAAAACACTTAATTTGCCAAGAAAATAAGGAGGATGAATTGAACTCCTAACATCTCTAATTTGCTGCAGTTTTATTCATTTTACAATCGTATCATTTCAGAGCAAGCTAGCTGCAGAACTAAAACACCTTATTTAAAATTGGTTGTAAAGGAAATCATATTTAGAAATGTTTTATATTTGGACATTTTTAGCATTTATAGCATAATGAACTGGAATTACGTAGTTTTGTTGGTATTTGAGATGGTGTCTCAAGGGCTAGGGATTTACCCTGTAATTGGTGGGTTGCAGGTTTTAACCCAGACTCCTGCTGGCAGTTGTTGTGAGTATGGGCAAGACACTTTACCCTCCTTGCGTGCTGTTGGAGGTCAGAGGGACTGGCAGCTCCTGTGCTTGGCAGCTCTCCTTTATCAGTGCATCCCAGGGCAGCTGTGGCTACATTGTAGTTCATAGTGTGTGTGCATGTGTATAACTGGTTGTGCTGTAAAGTGCCTTGGGGGGGGGGGGGGGGGGACTCCAGAGGGTGCTGTATAAATACAAACAATTTACTATTTTATACCCCAATGAAGATTATTTTGTCCCCGATACTGGCCATGTAGAGTTAGGTGTCATAAAATGTCTAATTTATACATCTGTCTATAGTTTAACAGCACAGACTTGCAGAAGGCAAACCATGAGCAGACATTGTGGTCAATCACATCATCATAGCTCTCTTCTGATTGGTCAAACTGAGTGTTACAATCATTCCTGGTCTCCCCTAACGGTATTCATTTGGTATTTCTTGGCTCTCGGTGGGATGGGGTTATATTGGTTCACAAGCACAGCAGTTTCATTCAAACTACATTTGCGTGGTAAAGTAGAAGTTACGGTCATGTTACTGTTTTCTGCCGATATGCTAACCTTTGATAATGCGCTTCACAAAGTTAAATGATCTGACGTGCGAGTACTCTTTCAACAATTTAAACAAGAAGTTATGAATTATGATTCAACTAAACACTTGATCCTTCACACATTTCTGTTTACACTGAGAGAGCTCTTTGAAAGGGAAGCAAAATATTTGCAAGAAAACCGCGAAGTCCTTTGTACCTTTGCTCTGGACCGACTATGTAAATTAGATGACAAGCTTTACTTTGCTGCATTTATCGTTTTTTAGCTTTTATTTATTCCAAGTTTTCATCATTGTAATGCAATGTTTGCTTCTGCATAAGCTGTGCTGCCCATTCTTTAGTTTTATTGTCCAGGGTGCCAAAATCACCGTACAATGCCAAACAGGGCAGACTGACACTAAGAGCCTCAGTGGTGATATTTATGTATTTCTTTGTTGTAGCTGTTTACAGGTTTGCCTATAGCCTCCCATTGTTCAAGGCCAGTTCCCATGCACAACATAAACCATTTAGAGAACCACACTGGAAACTTATTCACCCTCTCTGGAATGCCTTTACATCACAATAAATGTTACGTTTTATTTCAACATTCTGCTTTTCCTGCCCAGAAAAACCACATTCGGAAACATTGTTTTTACAATAACGCATTTTGTGTTTACAAGGTTGTTGTTGCACTTTGTATTGTTGGTTAAGTACCAAGCATCGGGACCACCTCCTTGAGTGCGTCTGCCTTTAAAAGCTGCATTTCCCACCGACCTTGTGCCTCAGCTTTTTAACGCGGGTCGGTGCCTCTTCTTGATTTCTCCCCTTTTTAAAGTTAGCTGTGCAGGTTCACAACCTCATGACCAAGGCAAAAAAAAAAGACCTGAGGTGGCTCGAGCTGGGAATGCATTCACTTTGGTATCGAAGCAAAAATGCTACAGATGATTAACTAAGCATGAAGCATAAGTCCAGTTGCAGCGAGCAGGCAGAAACCTGGTTATGAATGCATTTCCCTTCATCTGAGTGGTAGAAACTGGCAGAGGAATATTACTGAACCGTTTTAGTGTTTAACTGTGCAAGTGTGTGTGCCAGCGCTGTTGCAGGCTGTCTGTATGAATAAGCCTACAATTCTGGGTCACCGGTTCATACAGTGGACTCCAAGGAATATAATCCAAACACAGGAATTATACTAATGTGGTCCATCGTTGGAATCATGTCAGTTAGGCAGAAAGTGTAACCCTTGCATTAAAAAATAAAACTTTATACCTTTTTTAGGGATTCATAACCACTCTCATGCCCATGACCGGCTAACTCTTGGTCAGGTAATTACAGCACGTCTCTGTTTCAGAAGGAATACACAAACTCAGCAGTTTTATTTTCTCCCAACAGTCTAAAATCAGAGCAAACAAAAGATCCCAAAGTGGGCTTCACCTTTCAACCGGAACGTTAGGGGTACTGGTTTGTTTTGAACACACGTTCGTAGGGATGCACACCTCTCTGTCAGATCGTCTGCCTGGTCGTTTGCAGAGGCCAGCCCGGAGCCGCCGCCTGCTGACTGACAAGCTGGAAGCAAAAGCTGTTGCACGGAAACTGCTGTGTGCAATGAAAGGAGGCAGTATTCCTCCTGTTCACGGCATATTTCGCAACGTGCCTGCCAGTACTCGGTTAGCGATTGCTGGATGTGATCCTCTAAGTAAACATGGACTTGATTTGGGTCTGTTTTATATTTTAATTGTGTGTTTTCATAAGCCCTGCTGTTTTCAGTGCATACGGCACTGTTTGCCAGTCGGTGACACAGGATTATAATCAGATCCCGACAGAGATGTCAGATTGTACTCATAGTTCCTTCTCGCTAAGTTCATGACGTTCAGATCGTGCTCAGTAGCTCCTTTTGTTTCTTGGTTAACGTGATTGTTATGAAGCCAAGAAGATCTTAAAAACATAATTTTTTCTTCATCGCTGCTATTTAAACTGTTTTTTCTTGTGTCTCCTTATAGGGCCCCCCTGGTATAAAAGGTGAAAAGGTGAGAACAATCTTTGTTTTTATCTATTCTTATAGGGATGATAGATATGTAGATCAGAGTTTTACATCAGTGGCTTACAAGCTGACTATTTGCTTGCTCACGAGTTGAGCTCTGTGAAGAGAGAATCGTGCTGAATTTGCACCAACAGCTAATTATCTTTAAGCTGAAACGGGGGGAAGCAGTTTGAATGAATCCGTTTAGTCGGAGCAGCATTCACACAACTAAACTAATGCTGTTTTTACACCAAGTCCTTGATACTGGACTTTTAAAGGTTAGGTAAGATATCAAAATATTCATTAATAATGTAAATACAAACAACTTTGATATCTGAGAGATTTTAATTTTATATTAAAAAGCCGGTTCTCTCAGAAAGCATTTTTATTTATTACTCTTGAAAATCATCGTTCACGCTGAGTTTTTAATGCAGGCTGCTGGTCTCATACACCTACCTCCTGCATTAGCTTCTGAATATAGAAATATGGAAAATAGATGATGAATCTCTAGGACTAGAAAATCCTGACAGATCTACATCACACTGTCACCTAACATTCATGGACTCACCCATCTTGAGTCACGATGGGGAAGGCTGTTGTTGGTTTAGCATCCAGGAAACAGCAGAGAATGTCTCAAGTCGACTAGCAGAAGCTAACCATTAACATTAGCAACTCCACCACATAGCAGATCTCCTTCAGGCTTGTCTTAAAACATCAACGTTTCAAAGTCAGTGTTAGAGTTGTACCGCTGTCCGCTAATCAGAAGTGAGATGTGCAAATATCAGCAAATAAGAATCCAAATCCTGTCGTCTGAAGCTCTTTTCTCCTGCAGCTGGCTTCTACGCCCTCAAACAGGTGCGCCAGAGCTGTTTTTCCCCAGAACACTACTCACAAGGCATTTATTCCTACTAGAGACCACTGCAAGTGTGTTAAAATATATGTAAAATATACAAATATATATGAGTGTGACCTTTCAAAATGCCATAGTGATGTAGTGGCCACTCCTTTTTTGAGTAGACTTTTGTCTCGGGTTATATTTTTTCCATAGGAGATTGGTAGATGCATGTTTTGAGGACTGAAGGCAAGCCACCAGTAGAGCTGTGGACTACTGGGAAGGCAGCAAGCAAACTGAGTGAGGACTCACTCAAACGCAGTGCTCATGGGGAGAAATTGTGCCAGCCGGTCCATAGCTGGGCACAATTTGGAGCTATCCTCTTTAGAAGCAAATTTTCTTGCCCCTGAACTTTTCTTGGTTCAGCAAGGTGGCTGTACAAGCTGACATAAGCTCACTGCTTATCCTGAATAGATCTTCTGGTATCCAAACAAAGCCATGCTTGGGATGGAAGTGATGAAGAAATGTTGGAAGATCAGCCATTCCACAAATAACACAAGCCTGAAGGAGTTCTGTCGTGTTGTGGAGTTGCTTACGGTTAGCTTCTACTAGCAGAGACGTTCTCTGCTGATTCCTGGACGCTAAACCAACAACAGCCTTCCCTCGTCATGAGTCAAGATTGGTGAGCCCATGAATGTTAAGCGACAGTATGACGTAGATCTGTCAGGATTTTCTGAACTAAGCCTGCATGTTGAACTCAGAATAACTGACCATTTTCAAAAATAGTAAGTAAAAAGAGTTTCTCAGTGAACTCGGTCTTTAACGCTCCATTTGGTTCTGGAAGCCCACTTATTCTCACATGGACTTTAGTGTTTTACTGTGTAAAAATAATTTATTTGGCATAAACGAGACAAAACATTGGAAAAGAAACAAAGATTTAGTTCTTCAAAACTTGCAAGCTGCTTCAACAGATTCAAACTGAGCTGCCCTTGTGTGTGGCTCCTCCTGTACCATATGCGTCATTCTTTTAGGTGTTTAAATCAGACTTTTGACTAAAGATGACATTTTTATTTTCTTATTTCAGGCCTACTTACACCATTGCTAGTCAAGACAATAAAACATTGTTTCTTTTTCCACAGAATTTTTCTTTCCAAACAAAATGTGATTTGAAATTTATTTGCTACTTTATTTTGAAATCAACTCATTCTGACCTCAAGTGTGAATGCTGAAATTCTTCTGGAATTCATAAATCCACAGCAGAGCGTGTTGAAAGCCACATCGCCCAAGTCAAACCCATAAATGCCTCACTGAGCAGTGCTCTATAAAACAGCAGTGGAGAATGCAACATAACCACACTGGTTCTGAAGGACCAGGGGCAAAGTGCATGCCTGTGGAATCACACCGAAGATAGTAAAGTCCTCAAATTCATTCAGTATGAAACCAGTTTCTGTATCAGGGATCTGTTACTGGTAAAAGTTAAATACATATAAATACAAATGATATAATGTAAAGTGATTTATACTTTGGTAATGACCCAAAGTGACAGGATGATTACGCTGAAATAGAAGGAAATGGCGTGAGAGTTCTAACCGAAGCTCAAAGTCAGACACAAGTAGATGATTTTGTCATCTGGGCCAAATTGGCCTCTTTGGTAACTGATTATTTCTTGTAATGTGGGACGCAGAATTATGCTAGTTGTTGTCACTGATCAACGTCATAAATCAACAGTGACGTCTTTTTCTTTTGTTTACATTGTGCTGCTTTAGACAAAGCTGTGGCCAGAGGTTTGGAGAATGACACAATTATTTTTCACTAATTTTTCTGCCTCAGTTGTAATGATTGGCATTTCAATAGAATGTTAACGACAATTTGTGTCAAAGTAATCCCTGGAGCACATAAAGGCACCTGCTGATATTTCAGTGATCCTCTGGGTAACACAGGAGAGGGCTATGTTAAGCAAAGCCACACATCAGAAAACCAAGCTATTGCCCTAAACAGTGACATTAGTTTATTTAAATGCATGTAAACGTGTTAGTCTGGTTGAAGGCAAACTGGTTTAATCTGGCTGAAGTACCCCGATAATGCAGTAGCAATCCGACAGCACCAGTATGTAAATGGCTCAGTCGAGCTGATACCAGTAACGACCAGAAGTGACGAGACCACGGAAGCAATCATCTGACAATATCATCACCACAAAGTAATACATGTAACACTATCAAACATTACAGTAGGTACCAAGTGAGCTGTGCTGCAGTGTTGGTGCTATCCATTCTTCGGTCATTGTTCTACCAGCGTTTGTTTACTCTCTGTATTGCAATGCTCTAACCGGAAGAATGCCGACACAAAAGGGAGTATGTCGCCACCTACTGTACCGGAGTGGAACAAACTTAATTTAGCGATTCGGTTTTCTAAAGTACACGTAAACTAGGATAAAGGCTCCCATGTATTACTTAGATTGACTTAGATGCACATGTAAACACACTGATAGAAGCTAAGTGTGTCAGGCTGATTGAGTTAGAATAACAGACTGAGCAAATTTTACGAAAGGTTTGGTTCCCATTGTTGCAAGATACTTGCAAGAGTACGTGCAGTCACCTTTGCATTTCACTGAAATATATTCACAGGTGATGAATATACTGCTAGTGAGTTTGCACCATTGCAAGATAACTTTAAAACATTACTTTTAAAAGTCTGATTGTTGTGGAGAAGACATTAGGACAAGCAGCACCAAAACTGTCTTCTAAAAATGGACTCAGCGGTGGGAGTGGGGCACCACCAGTGCAGGGCTTGTTCAGGAATGACAGCAGGCAGGTGTAAAAGCATCTGTAGTTCAGTGAGGAGGAGACTTTTATAAGATGTCCTGTGGTCTAGAAGTTCAGCAAAGAAGCCACTTCTGTCCAAGAAGAACATCAGGGTCCAGGGATTGGACTGCTGAGGACTGAGGAAACGTCATGTTCATTGATGAATCTCTTTTATGATTGTTTGGGGCATCTTGGAAAAGGACTGTCTGGATAACTCAAAGAAAGCACTCTCACCAGTCTTATGAACTGTAAAGCATCTTAAGACCAGTTAAGTGTGGGGCTGCTTCTCAGCCAAGGGACTGGACTTACTTCATTAAGAGAGAATGGTACCTAAACATCATCCAAGAGGAACTCCACCCAAGAGCAGATTGGTGATTAACAATGCATTTTCAGTGGAGGATTGTGTCATAAAGTAAAAGTCAGAACTAAGTAGCTTGGTTCAGTGGTGAAGAAACTCCCCAAACTTTAACCCCATTGAGAGATTGTAGTCAATCCTCAAGAGACAGGTGGACAAAGAAAGACCAACAAAGTCTAACAAACACCACGCATCAATTATAAGGATTGGGCTGCATTAGTCAGGATTCAGTCCAGAAGTTGATTGACAGTATATCAGTGTGAATCAATCAATCAATACTTTATTAATCCCAGGGGGAAATTAGAGTTTCAGTACACACAATTCAGAGATCAGACATACATGGGCAAGACACATGACAAGAATTGGTGACTGTGGTCATTCGCAACCCGAGTCGCACTACCTTAATAGAGATAAGAGGGTTACATGAGGGTTGGATCAGGTGGAGGGAAAAAAAGGCACTTCAGAGTTACCCTCCCACCAGGAGGGCAGCTTTGCTCTGCAAAAAAACACCTCAACAGATATGCAACAGACTTCAGACAACACAACATAACATGAGACTCCAATAGGAAGGCGGGGGGTGGGGGGGTGGGGGGGTGGGGGGCTGGGATCCTGTTTCCCCCAGCGAGAGCAGTCATCTACGGCACTCATCTACTGTACAGTCACAGGTGGGAGGGAGATCTTGGGAGAAGCGAAGAGCACATTGACTTCTGCAGATTGATGACCTCGCCAGGCTGAAGTCCACCAATCCGAAGGCGGGGGGTGGGGGGGTCAGATCGGGTTTTCACAGCATCTGTCTGCATTCCTTCGTGGGGGTTTGTTGTTTGCCGCTCAAGGCTACCAGGGAGTCAGATTCAGATAGCAAGAATTTGTTTGGGCCATAATAATATAATAAATAATAATCATTTCCCTCCTATGGAGGTCTTGAAAAAGAAAGACTAACACTACAAAAAATAACTCTGAAGAAAACTTAACATAATTGTCAAGAAGATCCTTAAAAATTTTACGTTTTTATATTTCAGTCAATCGTAGAAATGTCCAAGAAAAAGATCTAAAAACACAGAAGCTGCATATTTTGTGAAAATCAATGATGGAATCATTCTTAATACTTATGGCCACGAATGTAGAGCACAAAACCCCGCTCATCTGTTACAATCCACAAATAGCTTTATTGCTTTATTGACTAAAGCCACATTTATGCTCTTCGTATAAACCCAATCAGTCAACAGTTCAATAAAATTAAAAACAACTTGATGCACCACCCAAGACGAATAAAGCAGCCGTGAGTGTGGCCATTCACAACTGTTTTCCCTTTGGATTTGGCCCAATGAAAAACAAATGCAAAAATTCCAAGAGGTGTTTAATTTGAGATTGCAACGGCATGCCAAGGAAGTGTATTTGATTCAAAAGTGGTATAATTTGTTCAGCCTGTCTCACCTAATGGTGACCCAGTCAGTCTAACAAATGAGATAGTTTGAGGATGTTCACTTATTGTAATTTAGACAGATTAAGGTTAAAATTCACTTTCTAACATTCGATCATCCTTCATCTACTTCAAACAAAGCCGTTCTTTTGTTTGGAGTTTGCAGTAAAGCAATGAAACCTCCGTCTTTTACATGGAGATTGATATGAAATCCAAATGTTTGAACCATCAGAGCTTAGCTCGGTCTCTTCTTCATCGTACTCTCCTAAAAAAAAAGCGGCAGAAAGCCAAAGATCTCTGGGGCATAAAATCTGGCATGAATCTGGTCCTCCCACCCCCTCCTCACCAAACCCAACAAACCTCACACCGCTGCTCTCTCGTTCTCCTTCTCCAATACCCAATTCATGTCATTCCATGTTATCATAAGTGATTTTACTTTCAACCGCAAGGAATAGCTGAGGGTTCCTGTATTATTTTACTTTATCAGTTAGTTCTGAATTATGGCTGAGTGCTCTAGCCGTGAGTCTTGGTGTGTTCTGTTCTGGTGAAGCAAAAGAGTTCAATTCTGTTTTTTTTTTCCTTTCCATCTGCAGGGGGATCAAGGTGACCAGGGACCTCGGGTATGTGGTTTGACTTCTTAAGATTCCCAGATCAGTGTGACTATATGTGTGTGTGTGTGTGTGTGTGTGTGTGTGTGTGTGTGTGTGTGTGTGTGTGTGTGTGTGTGTGTGTGTGTGCGTGTGTGTGTGTGTGTGTGTGTGTGCGTGCATGCGTGCGTGTGTGTGTGTGTATCCCTCAGAAGAAATGTGGGCTAAAGGTTTGAGATGCACAAAATTCCTGGGATAGAGTTCTTCCAATGTGGCCAAAAACAACAAGCATCTCAGCAGCGCTGCGTATTTCTACATCAACAATGAGTAGACGGACTACGATGCTTTAGAAGATTTGGGCTGGTGCAGAGTTGTACTTTTTTTTACTCCTCGTCTGCAAATTGAATGTGCTTTTTTATGCTCAGATTAATTAATAATCAGCACATCTGTCTCCATAATTACTCATGATTAACTTCCGTCCTCATGGCACCTTTGCTCCAGCTCCATAGTCTGACATTTCCATAAAGGTGCAGTATCTAAATGATGCTATTCAGTGCTTGATAACCTCTGAAATAATTATTCTATCTCAACTTAGCAGCTAGAGTAGTTTTCCCCCTTTTTCTTCAATAAAGGGTCAAAAAAGAGCATTCATTTTAAAAACAGACTGCACAGGTTTGTTTAAAGTTAACTGCATTAAGAGTGGGGGTGGGGTTGCACAAGCACGCACATACACATGTTCACTTTATTTCTATCTGCTGTTGATCATCGAGGAAGGATTGGATGTAAGTCAAAGTCACTTTGAATGTCTGTAATTGATTTATAATGGGCCAGAGTGCATGCAGGGGTTGGCACACAAGGAAAAGAAAATCCATCAACACAGTTTGTCTTGTCACTGGAACTTTAGCCATCTCTCCAGTGGATCTGATCCCAATTCAGCGCTGGCGCCCACCCAGACATCAGTAGTTTGTCGATGAACTTTGTCAGCTCTCCTCCCGGCGAGTTGCATCGAGTTTTCTTATGATTTGAGAGTCAGTACAAATGCCCCTTTCTGTGAAATTCAATTAGTGGTCACCAAGTGACACATCTAATGTTTCTCATAGACGTGGTTCACATCGCAGTCAGCCTCAGGGATTAGGTTCTCCTGGGTAATTTCCCACTTTCACAACATTCACTAACACATTTTGAACTTGGTTATTTTCAGTGGTTTTAGAAAGGGTTGTATAACCATTATTGTTGCAAGAGCCACTGGGATGAAACCAACACAAATCAGATTTATTTCTGCAATAAACCTGCAAACGGTTTGGTGATTATTATGACTTTTAATAATCAAGACATTATATTTGGAGAAATAACACAGCGTGGAACCGTTTTAACAACAATTAGCTGGGTCCCATTTGTCTTCTGGTATAAATAAACGTTCATTTCAAGCGTGCATTTCATTAGTTTCGAATTACCACACAAGTGTCCCTTAATAGGTACAAATTAGCACATGTTGTTAAAGTCACAGAAGAAGAACCAGAGGGATAAAAACAGTGTAGGTCACCACTGAACTGTACTAGTTTCACAGATGAGTTTATTGCCTTTGCACATTAGATTAGTGAGCAAATGTAGTAAAACCATTTAAGCAGATTTTTCCTAATAAATGAAGAGAGGACAAGTGGTGTCTGACCTTTGATCAGTCTGGGTGGAAATGAAGCTTGTTTTATGACTCACAATGGATTCATGCGTCTGCTTCATCCACATGGATCCCAACAAGCAGATAGCAAGATTTCCACCCTCATGCACTATACACACTGGTGTGAACCACAGACATACATAATCACTAGACATGGCTTCTTTGCCTGTAAAGTAAGTCAAACCCATTTAAAAGCATGACACATTGTATTTTTGTGATTAGAGTCTGCGCTCTTGTGATGAGGTGATTCTCAGTCACCAGTGAGTCGGAATTTAACCTCATGTAATTCCCTTTTCATCTAATTAAGGTAGCGCGACTCATGTTGCAAAGGACCACACTCACAACAGAGTTTTCCTCTCCACTGTCGCCGCATGCTTGCTTAGTATGAGGATTGCTGTAAAGATTCATTGAAGAAGTATGGGATCAAGAAAATTCAACCCATGAATAAAATGATTTGAGATCTTTATTTTTAAATTAGTACATTTATTATTTTTATCTTCTTTAGATTAACAGACTTAAATGATGCTCTGCAACCAACCACCAGGGGGAGCTCACTTAGTTGTGTTAGGTTTTCCTGTTGAGTTAAAGGTATAGCAAAGGGTCTTTTTCTTCCGGGTGGATCATCTGAACCATTGGTCCGCTTAACTGTCAATCATTCTGGTGAAGCATTCACGCAAGGCTGTCGTCGTACGTTGCCGGGTAGTTTTCATTTCCTGTGCAAAATGAAGGTTGGGCTCCCTACAGACACCTCTGTCCTTGTTTTTCTGCTCGACACGTAAGCTAAAGTTTGGCATGCTGTTTGGAGTAATTAATTTCAGATTACTGCTAGAAGAAGAAGTTGGCTGCAAGGCCAGCAGCTACTTGTAATGAGGATAACTGGGCTTTCTTTCTTATGCGCATTTGTTTTTCCAAAACAAGGAGAGTGTGGTTCTTTCCTGAAATTCAGAAACATCCTCCACTATACCTTTAATGTATAATGTATGATTTAATCATCACACTCCAAACAGACCAAAAGCCTCCACATGACTCACACATTTAACTTGATAGGATCACTAAAAACATGAACCTCGACTCAGACTTACTTACCAGTGACTCATCACTTCCATTTGTCCTGAGCTTTTTGACATGAAAATGTTTGATTGCATTTGGTGCATTGTCCACTGTTGACTCACCTGTTGGATGAAAGAGGCAATTAAATCGGCCAACTAAAATGAGGAGGTTACCAGTTATCACACACCAGGAATTTGCTCTTCCAGTGATCATTCAGCAGTGGTGGGTGTGGTCAGTCAGGTATGCCACGCCCACAGATAGACACCTCACACCACCCCCTTATGACATATTTGATGGAAGTAACTGAGCGCCAGTTGAAGTGAGATGATATGTAGGGTCATTCAACTATTTGCATAGCTCAACAGGAACCAAATCACAAACAAGCAAAAAACTTTGAATGAACAAAAAAATAATAAGTTGAGGCTATAGGGCTATTTAATGTTAGCTTAAAGGCTAAGTCAATTTTCTATCTTGTTCTATAAATCATGAGGCTGAGAGCTAGCACCGCAGATTCATGGTAACCTTACATCACAGTAACTCCCTTCATTGAAATTGAATGATCTCTGCTGATTACTGTGTGCGGTCCAGTGTCAGTGTTTTGAGCCTGAGCCGAAAGACAATCAGACAGAAAAACATTTAAAAAAAATTATCAGGTTAATGTTTACAGTGTAACACAGCACCAGCACTTTTCCTTTCCTACAAAAAGTATGGCTTTAAAGACGACTGTTACAAGTCTTTAATTAAAGGTGTGGATCAGTCATTTATGCAGTGGTCTTTAGTAGGAATAAATGCCTTGCAAGTCAAAATCTGGGGAAAAAAGCTCGGGTGCACCATTGTTTGGAACTGGAAGTGAACCACATCAGAATTGAGCTTCAGACAAAATGATTTGGAGTCTTATTTCCTGATATTTAGATATCTCTCCTCGGATTGGATAACAGCTACAGCAAAGCCTGAAGGAGTTCTGCTGTGTGGTGGAGTTGCTAATGCTAGTGGTTAGCTTTTGCTGTTTGAGATGGCCTTCCCTGTGGTGAGCAGAGATGGGTGAGTCCATGAATGTTAAGTGACAGTGTGATGTAGATCTGTCAGGATTTTCTAATCCTAGAATTTCACCGTCAATTTTCTATCAGAAGCTAATGCAGGAGATAGGTGTATGAGACTATTTTCATGTTCAGCCTGCATGAAAATCTCAGAGTGACCAATTATAATCAGAAATAATCATAATAAAATGGTTCTTCAGTATTCCACACCTTTAAATGACATGTTTGGTCAAATGACTTCTTAAGGACTCGGGAATTCTGCCACCTTACCGTGGTGGAGTGGTTTGAGTGTCTCAATGATCCTAGGAGCTAAGTTGTCTGAGGCGTTCTGCCTCTGGTAGGGTCACCCATGGCAAACAGGTCCTAGATGAGGGATCAGACAAAGAGCAGCCCGAAGACCTCTTATGACGAATTATATAAATGGAAACCGTGTTCCCTCGCCCGGACGTGGGTCACCAGGGCCCCCCTCTGGAGCCAGGCCTGGAGGTGGGGCACGTTGGCGAGTGTCTGGTGGCCGGGCTTTCACCCATGGAACTCGGCCGGGCACAGCCCAAAGAGGAAACGTGGGTCCCCCTTCCCATGGGCTCATCACTCGTGGGAGGACCAAAGGGGTTGGGTGCAGTGTGTGACGGGTGGTGGTCAAGAGCGGGAACCTTTGCGGTCTGATCCTTGGCTACAGAAGCTGGCTCTTGGCACATGGAATTTCGCCTCTTTGGTGGGGGAAGGAGCCTGAGTTGGTGTGTGAGGTTGAGAGGTTCCGACTGGATATAGTCGGACTCACCTCAACACATGGCTCTGGCTCTGGAACCAGTTTCCTTGAGAGGGGTTGGACTTTCTACCACTCTGGAGTTGCTCCCACTGAGAGGCACCGAGCAGGGGTGGGCATACTAGTTACCCCCCATCTTGGTGCCTGTACGTTGGGGTTTACCCCAGTGAATGAGGGGGTAGCCTTCCTCTGCCTACGTGTAAAGGGACGGGTTCTGACTGTGGTCTGTGCTTATGCACCAAACTACAGTTCAGACTACCCACCCTTTTGGAGACCTTGGAGGGGGTGCTGGAAAGTGCTCCTTCCGGTGACTCCCTCGTTCTGCTGGGCGACTTTAACACTCATGTGGGCAACGACAGTGAGACCTGGAGAGATGTGGTCTGGAGGAACGGCCACCCGATCTGAATTCGAGTGGTGTTTTGTTATTGGACTTCTGTGCCAGTCATGGATTGTCCATAATGAACACCATGTTCAGACATAAAGGTGTCCATATGTGCTCTTGGCA